CGCCGGCCCTTCTGTGCGCGGGGCCCTGTAGGCCGATGTCTCCGTCAGGCGCCCCTGAGGAGGCTCCCTGCGGCCGGGGCTCCCTCAACTTGTCTTCTCTTGGCAGCGACTGCACGGAGGAGAAAGCTCCCGCCAAGGGTGACGGGGGTGCGGAATGCGCCATGCGAGCCCGCAAGAGGAAAGCCGATGTGGCCACGGTGAGTGCGGGCTTGGCCTGGCGGCCCACCCGATGCCCGCGGGCCAGCGCCTGCCTCGCTGCTGGGCCCTCTGGGCCCTCGCCCTCTTTTGTTGGGTGGTAGGGATCTGGGCGTTGGGTGGGCCGTGGTTTGCTGCGGGGCTGTGATCCTGCAGGACCAGGCACATGTCATGGTGGCTAGTGATCACTTGTCCCATGGTTCATACTCCTGAAATTATATATTGCTTTTTGTAGTTCTTACAGGATCCTGATGAAGAAATTGCCAAAATGGAGATGAATAGAAAAAAGCAGTATGAAAACCAGGTAACCCATTTGGTTTTAGATCATACTCCTGTAATCTTGCTTAACCTTATTATTATTTTGCAGTACCTCATTATTTTTATGAACACGGTGCAACAGATATACAGCTACCGCATTCTATATAGCCATGGGTGAGGGAGACTGTCAACCCTGACTGATGAAGAGCGCAAAACACTTCAGTTGATACAGGTTGCTTTGGAGTCTTTGCAAGAGATAAGGCTTGTGTTGATCTAAAACATTATGTTAATACTTCAGTATAATCCTAATTGTTTTGGGATTGCAAGGATGCACCTTACAAAAGCCTTAACAGGCATTTAGGCCTACAGTGAGGGACTCTGCATTGAGTTCTCTAGAGAGTTACAAGAGTGTAGTGATGTGCTTAGGTCCTGTACTTAGCTGGCCAAAGCACTAGAGACTTAAAGCATATGAACAGTCCTCTCTTGAGGTGGTTCTCTGCAGTTGTGTATCACCTGGGAGAGAGGAAAGATCCCCCTTTCGCCATCAGCTGCATTCCCATTGACAAGGGCCACTATCCAACTGACAGAAAGTAAGAGGTTCCTGACTAGAGCTTTGAAGTTTATACTAGATGCTAATGTGGTAGTAAAATAGGCTTAATTTCTCTGCAGAACAAAAGGATAACTTCCGTAAAGTCACTTACCTATGGAAATCAGGGCTGCAATGGAGGTTAGTAGTGACCATTGCCAGTTTTCTCAGTAAGACATTCAGAATGATCTGAGTTAAGAAGTAAAAACTATCTTCAGTAGTGTCCTCTGGCTCCTTTAGTGCCCTTTCTATAATCTCTGAACCTGAGATGCTGTATTGGTATATGGTATTGAAAGCATGATGCTTTTGTACATTGATATGCCCACTTTAAATAAAACAGTAGCCTGTTTCTGAAATAGATTTATTCCCCTCCCTTTTATTTCTGCACACACACACATGCTCACTCAGTCACTGTCACTAGGACTTCAGGCTGTTAATGTGCATGCAGGGTGATACTTAAACTGCAAAAGTCATGATCAGGGAGTACAGACTGTACTCATTTGGTACGCAAGGCTATGCATAATGTGGCACATCTAACCAGAAGTGGCAGCTGGAAGTTCTAAGACTAAAGTGCTACTATAACAGATGGGCATCATTGTTTGGAATGGCCTCTGCTTGTTGCAACTGCGTATACCAGTTATCAGTCAACATATTAAGCAGGGCTCAAATGGTGAGCATTTAATGAGGGGATCTCTCCTTCCCTTCTGTCTTTCTTTTGTGCAGTATATTAAACTAATTTCTCACTTCTGACAAGGAAGAGCTGCCTGTCCTTCGCCACAGCTCTCTCCTTCACCGAAAGATTCATTCTATTTGAGCTGGGCAAGGGCTACTTGCATGGTTATTGCTTAATAATAAGATATTGTTAAAAAACCCTCAACAGGGACCCAATTTTACCTTCTTCAAGAAACGCAGTAGAAAGAAACTTGAAATCTATTTTGCGTACACTGACCTTCAACTTTGAAAGCAGATAAAGACTTCCAGTTTGGTGTTCTTGTTTGCGTTCCTGGCCTGGTAGCCATTCAGTGTTACTTCAGGACGGATAGGCAAATTAAAATCTAGATAAATTAAGCTGTAGGCATCCAACATATTTAATTCGCAATTTTTCAAGTTAAGCTTAAGATACTGGTGGTATTTGGCCCTTCAATTCTGCAAACCATAAATAAAATGGGTACTTGTGTATCTCTCCCTACATAGAGAAGGTTTTTTGTTGTGACAAAGTAGCCAGATTGTTACAGATCTGTTTAAAAAAGCTAACATTTGGCTGCACAGCAGCAGCTCTTCAGTCGATGGTATGACACAAGCTATTCCCTGATATAAATTGCCATGGGCCACTAATGAGAATATGTTTACGGTTCCAACAGCAGTATAGCAGGCTTGTATGATAGCCAGTGCGGTAGTTATTCTGTTGTGGCACAACAATTCTAAAATGCAAGTAGCTATAAATCCACTGCAGCCTATACCACATGACTTCTACATTAAATAAATTGTTTACTGACACTAGTTTATACACAAGGCAAAATATCATAGTCACATCCCACTTTACAGCATCTTCATAGTCAATTCATTAGTTTGCTTCTGTTGAACATAAGGCCTGAGTTCTTAATTAGGATGCCGTTACCCTTTATGTGATGAAAGTGTGGCTATATCATCAGGTTTGTGACAGCAAAATACTGCATAAATTCTGTGTTTGATTTTAGAGAACTGGCACTGCAGTAATTCTGCTAGCAATTCTCATATTAATTCTGGCTGTTCTCTGTGGATGGATACACTTCCAAGGCTCCGTGTAAAACAAAATTCATCTAACTAGGTTAGAAACATCCATGCAATTGTGATACAAATTACATGGCCACTTCCATCTAGAGTGGAGAACTGAATCTAGGAGTTAGTTTCTTTAGATGAAACTAACATTTTCAGGTGAAAAGAAGATGAAGCAAGCTCCCAGGAAGTAGTGTTGATCAGTTTCTCACTAGATGGTTTTCCAGAATCCAGTCTTACTGTTGTAAAAATGTTCTACCTAGGTGGTTTGAAAATATCTTCCAAAAAGTTTCTTTAACTAGTCTAGATTCTTCGGAAGATCCAATTTATAAAAACAACCCAGCCTCCCACCCCCTTACCCCTGTCCTCCCCAAAAAAACCCACCACCACAAAACAACTTGCAGATCTTAAGACAGCTGTATAAGGAATGTAAACTCTATGCAGGTTGAGAGCTTGAAATGGCCCAAATCTCAGACAGGACTATATTAGGACTCTAGAAAATTAGGTCTGTGGAAGCTTGTTCTGGTGGCTCCCAGCTCAAGTCAAGATGCACAAGTGTCTCCGCAGCTCATATTGGGTGTTGCTGCTTCACTGAAGGCTCTGCCTGTAACCAGTGGTTGCTACCTGTCCCATTTTGTGTCTGGCCTATATTCCCAAAGGCTGTCCCAGAGATCTGTTTAAATGAATGTTTGATATGTTAGTGAATTATGACATGTCTCAGAAAAGTGACATGTGGGAATGTTTGAGCTTCAAAACAAAATCCCACCTCCTGAGTTTTCTTTGTTTGGAGCTATATGGGCTTGACTGCTCTGAGGGACTTCTTTGGTCACTTACCTTCTGCCCTTCTCGGTGGTGCTTCTCCTAACAAGCCTTTTCATTTCCTCTGTTGAATTTCTCCAGTCTGTATCTATTTCTCAGTCTGATTAATTGTTCCCATTCCTATATATGGAATATTACTGTGGGTGCCACCACACTTTCTTGGGGGCTCCATATAGATTTGCAGAGGCAGTTTCCCCACTGATTTTTGGCGTGCATAGTACTTCAGCTCCTGTTTGCCTCAGAAGTAGGCCCAGGGCTGTGGGATTTCCTCCATTAGGCTGCACAGGTTCTCTGTAAAGTCTGTCCCTTTTTGGTATCTCCCTGCTTTTGGGTTGGCTCTATGCAAGACCAAAGGAAGCTCTTCATGGTTTCCTCACACCCTCTCCACCTTAAACTGTTTCTTTTTTCAGTGGTGGCTCCTATTTCCTTACAGTTACGATATGATGCTATAGAGTTTCTTGATAGTGTTGCTTAGTTTTGGTTGAATGTCTTGCTAAATCTGCTTTAAAAACATCAAGAGTGATTACTATGCTCATTCCTTCAAGTAAAATTGAGACCAGAACTATGGTGTTCCCTCACTTATGCTAATTCAGACTCCTGTCTCCCTTCCTGGTAGCCTCTTGCTTTTGAGGGCCCTATGCATTTGTTTCTTCCTTGTTTCTAGCTAAGCTATATGTGTTTTCTTTTGCTTGTGTCTTTTCCCCAGTTGTCTTGATGAGCGACATTTTCTTGTCAAAAACTTTGTTTTCACCTCTCAAAAGAGCTAAGGGGCTCTTGACCCTTGATTTCTATTTCCTTATAGAGGGTTGGGGGTGGTGAAATCTCTTCAATCAGTTGTTGTTGCTGACACTAGTATGTGAGCTACCGAATTTGGTTGAGAACTCCATGGAGCAGACCCCTTGTCCTTCAGAAGCTGCTGGTGTAGTAGGCACCTTTAAATTGATACTATATAATCTACTGCTTTTCTGTCGGTTTGCTGATTAACTGATAAGACAGCCTTTCTCCAAAGGCTGTTGGCAGCTGGGCTTGCCATGCAGTTTGGAGGACAAAGTGTGACTAAACTCTAGTTTTGCAGGAGGACAAAAATTAACTTTAAAGCAATGCTGATGCAACAGTTATTCAAATCTCCAGTTCATAAGGAATCTGTGATTTTTAAGATAAAGATACTATACCCTCTTCTTGCCATCCCTCACCCAAAATAAATCATGGCATGGCTGGGTATGTAGCTATGCTAGATCTGCACATAGAACTCAAGAAAGAAACTGCCCATCTGCCTGTCAGTGACTCAAAGTACAAAGCTGAGAGAACTGTGGAATGTGGTTTTTGTTTCGTCAAGTCAGTGGTTTCTGTTTCTGAAATTGGTGCTAGGAGGTAGCCATTTTGCTGGAAAGTGATGTCATGTGTAGCAAGGACAGGGCAAAATTCAGGTGTGGAACCATCTTTGCAAGAGGCAGATTTGTGTGTCGAGCATTTTACTAATGATTCTTCTGATCTGTTTTTTTAAAGCACGTTAAGAATCATGTTAGGGAGTTCTGTCCTTTTAGTGCTGCAGAACAGATAGGTTTGCAGCAAGATGACTGACTTCACTGTTGGGCAGAAATGCCAAATTTTAATTTGCTTAGGCATGATGACATGAGGCTGGCTCTAAACTTCACTGGTGAGGCCATGCCTAGAGTACTGTGTCCAGTTCTGGGCTCTCCAGTGCAAGAGAGACTTGGACTTACTGGAGAGAGCCCAGCAAAGGGTCACTAAGATGATTAAGGGACCAGAGCATCTCTCCTATGAGGAAAGACAGAGAGCTGGGGCTGTTCGACCTGGAGAAAAGGTGACTCGAGGAGATCTTATCAATGTATATAGATACCTAAAGGGAGGATGCAAAGAAGGTTGAGCTGAGCTCTCTGGTGATGCCCAGTGATGGGGCAAAAGGAGATGGGCACTTTTTTTACTGTGGGTGTGACCAAGCACTGGTGTGTGTTGCCCAGAGAGGCTGCAGAGTCTACATCCCTGGGGATACCCAAAAGCTGTTTGGACGTGGTACTGGACCTCTGGCTCTAGATGGTCCTGCTTGAGTAGGGGAGTTTGACAGAATGACCTACAGAGGTCCCTTCCCACCTCAACCATTCTGTAATTCTGTGTCGTTCAAGGAGGTAATCATTTTCCGTTGTAGTTTCTTGCCAATGTCTTGTAGTTTTTTGCCAATGTTTTGTCTTCTGTTTGCTAAAGTTAAAAGGATTATTTAAAAAGGCACAGTGTAAATATTTCATTTTATTTAATAGCCATCCTGGAATAATGTTCACAAAAATGCCCATATGCTGATTCCTACTCCGGATAAAGATGATGATCCAGTTGGTGTCGATTACTCTCACTTTATACATCTAAGTGTTGTTTCAACTAGAGCTTCACCATTGCCAGTTCTGGGGTAAGTGTGCCATTTTACTGCTGCTTGTCTGCCTTTGTTTTGTCTTATGATTAGAGACTAAACATATTGATCTGTCTTAGCTGGGCAAACAGAGAGGATGTATGGAAAAACATGATAAACAAAGAGGAGAAGTATGTGAGGGATAAACATTATATGCAAAGGCACCCTCTCCTGCAACCTAAAATGAGAGCAATCCTTCTAGACTGGCTAATGGAGGTAAGCTTTTCTGTGCTTGTATTTCATGTGTGCTTTTGTTGAAGTGTATTAATCACTGTCATTAGTACATTTCATGATCTTTGCATATCCCATTTAACACTAGACTCTCATCTTCATCTTAAAATTTGTCACTTAATGACACTAAACTTAAAAAAAAATATAGTAGAGTTGATGGTGTACAAACTGACAATACATTGTGATTTTAATTTTGATTGATAGTGGCTATTAATCAGTTTGTCCCTAAAGCTCCATGATACAAGATCACACTGCAGATAAAAGCTGCACAAATGATTAAGAAGGTGACTGTATAAAGGAAGGTGTGGTGGCTTAGACACCAGACATCTCACAGCCTCTCTGTCTGTTACTGGCATGTCGAATGTACTGCAACTCTTCTGTCTGTATGTCAGTCTTTTTGGCTGTTTGGATGACTTGGTGGCATAGTCTCTGTTCTTCATTGTAAAGTACTTGTGAGAATTTTCTTTTTGAGGTGTTGGAATGATGCATCTTTGCAGAAATGAAGAACTGATGTTCTGACACTGTTAGAACATGTGCTTGCATTTCCTAAAAGGGTTTTCACTCTGATCTCTTTTGGGGAGTTACTGTAGTGGCAGTCATCTTGTGTCAAAGGAAACTGTTTAACTCATGCTCTTAGTTAACATGCTACTTCACAACTGCAGTGAAGCATAAAGCCAATATGAATTTTACGCCTAGCTTTGGTTTTTTGGGTTTTTAAAATACATCTATAGCATCTGTTTTGACTCTATAACACTGTTCTTGACCTTTGTAATCTCTGATGTCTCTCCAGGTTTGTGAAGTCTACAAGCTTCATAGAGAAACTTTTTATTTAGCTCAAGATTTCTTTGATCGGTTTATGGCAACGCAACAGGATGTTGTAAAAACACTATTGCAGCTTATCGGTATCTCTTCTTTATTCATAGCAGCAAAACTTGAGGTAAGTATCTCCAGCTTTTACTTAAACATAAAAATGTGAATGGATAGCACACTTATTGTATACTAGACACTTTTTGGCAGGCTTTATGGAATCTGTTGCTATGACTTTTCAGTTGGGAGACAGAAAAAAACCCTTTTTTTCTTTTCAAAATTCCTCTTTCTTTTTTTTTTTTAAGAATTGACTAAAATTAAGACTAGATAGCATCACAGAATATCTCTTTAATCTTAAAATTATAGTCCTTTCAGTGTTAGAATACATCTAAAGTTTTTTAATTGTGCACGCTAAATGAGTTTTTGGCTGGCTGCTGTATACAGAGACCACTTGTTGCAATTCTATTGTCAGTGGAGTACCTACTGAATGATAGTCTGAGCTATTCTTTATTTACTGGAACAAACTGAACTATTAAAATACATAGTGCTTTTTAAGGTCTTACTGTTTGTCTTTTAAGAGGCCTATTATTCTTCAATCTGTTCTTCTCAAGCAAGGGATAAAAGGCCTTTTCTTTAGGATGTATAAAAAATCTTGATGTCAATTATGATGCCATCTTAGTGGTGCTATAGTCAAACAATGCCTGTTGTACTGATCCATTAGAAGTGAAAGGTGAAGGCTTTGAGCAAGAAAGTTGAACAGGAAATGTCTGTATATTAAAGGTGGAGTAGAAGCTATGAGCTAGGTAAAGGAGTTGGTTCTTTTTTCTATTTTTCCCATCTGTTTTGAAATGCTGAAGTAGTGGTGGGTTGTCCTTTTTTCTTTTTCTTTTCTCTCTCTCTCTCTCACTTAAGCACATGGGACTAGTTACAAGCTATTCCACAAATTAATACTTGATCATCTGTCTTTCAGGAAATTTATCCACCAAAGTTGCACCAGTTTGCCTATGTTACAGATGGAGCTTGTACAGAAGATGAAATCCTCAGTATGGAATTGATCATTATGAAGGTAATATTTCCAAGTGGAATTAGCTCTACTTTAGTTTTTAAAAACATGTAGCATGATCAGACTGAAAGCAGAGAGGCTCAGTTAATCTTATATGCTGCTAAGAGGCACAATTTCTAATTTGAAAGCAGTGTTCTCTAGGTGTCATGTGATTTAAAGCATCTGCCAGTATGTGAGTATTAACAAAAATAATTCTCCTGCCCTACCAGCAGGAGGTGGTACAGGTGAGGATTAGATTGATGTGCTTCAAAGATGCCTTCATGAACTGGAAATTCAGCTTCGGCTCTGGAGCAAATAAAGCTGTATGGTTTAACTTAGGAACTCTTCAGTAATACTGAAGTCTTGTGCATGTCTCTTTCAGGCTCTTAATTGGAACTTAAATCCACTGACAGTTGTATCATGGCTAAACATTTACATGCAAGTTGCATATTTAAATGAGTTTTATGAGGTATTGCTGCCACAATATCCACAGCAAATATTTGTACAAATAGCAGAGGTAAGACTGATTTACTTCTTCAAATACTACTTACTTCACCTGGAAAAAATGTGTTCCTGTGTAGACTTATTAACATGTGTTGTCTTGTAGCTTTTGGATCTCTGTGTGCTGGATATTGGCTGCTTGGAATATACGTATGGAGTACTTGCAGCTTCTGCTTTGTATCACTTCTCCTCATCTGAGCTGATACAGAAAGTTTCAGGTATTGGAATTGATAAACTAAATCTAATGTGTTTGCAAATGTTAAGTTCTCATTCTTGGCAGATAAGCCTATGTCTTGTCTTCCAGGTTATGAATGGTGTGAGATAGAGGAATGTGTCAAATGGATGGTTCCGTTTGCAATGGCCATCAGGGAAGTAGGAAGCTCCAAACTCAAACACTTCAGAGGTATAGCTCCTGAAGACTTGCACAATATACAGACGCACATAAACAGCTTGGATTTGCTGGTATGTATATGCATCATGAAGACAAAATGTCTGTAAAATCTCCTCTTATTTCTCCTTTGGTGAGAACATACAGTAAACTTCAGTGAAGCATTATCAGATTGAGTGTATTCAGATGATAAAAGGCATAAGGTTGTAGTGCATTTCCAAAGTCCTTGGCACAGAGACTTGTTCAGTATCTGGTTTAAAAAGATTGTGACTTAAACTTCTGATACTAAATGACAAATAGAAATCAGAAGCATATGTCTACCCTTTGGGATACTTAAAATATTGTATGTCAGACCTTTCTCTATAGGAAATACAGGTAATACAACCTTTTCTGATGAAAAAGAGAAAATAAAGACTGATCACTTGAGTCTGATCTTGTGGAACTAGAAGTTGAACAAGAGTAATTTTTAGCATGTGAAACTTGAGAAGGATCAAAATCTTGTCTAGCAAATTGTATTTAATGTAAGATACCAGTCTGGGGTTTTTTTATAGTTAATTTATTTAATTGTAGTAGAAGTTAAAGCTCTTCCTGTTCAGCTGCTTCTGAATTTTGCTTTCTTGAAGATACAAGTACCATAATGCTGGTCATCAGATTCCAAAAGTTAATACGGATCTCTTGGGGTTTGTGTTCATGTATTGCATCATTTATCAGTTATTTTAGGGGGGTTAGATACAGAGATGCATTTCCAGATTGCCAATCTATCAAGTTATAAAACACTGAATTATATTGATCTGTTGCATAAATATACCAAATATTTCCCCCCCGCATGTTCCTTTTTGTGTGCTTTCAGGACAAAGCTCAAGCAAAACAAGCCATATTGGCTGAGCAAAGTAGGACTTCACCTTTCCCCACTGGTGTCCTTACACCACCACAAAGTAGTAAGAAACAGCCTTCTGGAGTGAAGCCAATATGAGTTTAGAAACTGTTGACAGACAATTTTGCTGCAGTGCCTGCTCTGCTGGTTCTAACTCCTGCTCCATTATGGAAATGCTGCCAGTGAAGTTCATAAGCTTTTATGGAATCTGAAAAGAAAATCTTACTTTTTTCGTGACAGAAGAATTTTTCTATTTGAAATAATTTTATTGAACATTAAAATATTTTAAAGAAATGGATCAAGTACACCAGCCACTTAAAAGAACACCGAAGAGTGCTCCAAATGCTGCTACGGAGGGTGATGCTTGATGTGACCAACTGTGGAGAAAAAGGGCTTGAAGTTTAGATTAGTTACTGTGCCTGTTTGTCCTCTGGATAATCTGCAGTCATGCTGTCCCTTTGTAACATGGGGGAAAAAAGGTGCTGTGGAAGACTACATTTCAAAGCCTCTTTTCCAAATGGTTGGCTTACAACTTGATGCCTTTTTAAAAACTCTTTATTGTAAAAGCTGCTATGTCTCTGTATCCATTTTTAATAAAAATGCTGTCTAAGACAGCTGTTTTTATGTATATTCCTATTTTTCTTTTAATTATGGTCAGCTAAGGTTTTTCAGACTGTGACCACTAGTAGTGTGGGAGTTGGGGATGAGTAATGCAGTAACTGTCGCTTTATTTATTTACCACTACTGGGTTATCAATTAAAACTTTCATTTTGAATACTAAGATAAAGTTGTCATGTTGGATTTCCCTTAGCCTGATGCAAGTGGCTAGGGAGGGGATAATAAACATGACAAGTATGTGGGGAATCCTTCCACAACACTTTCTAATGGTCAGTTTATTGGGAAATTCTTGAATCAGACTGGATTGTTATGCTTAATAGCAAGAAGTGATCAGTTGGGAAAGCATGCCTTTTCTGGTTCCTTTAAATGCTGGGATTTTGGCATAGTCTTTGACAACTTCTGTGCAAAATTGAATTCTGGAATGGTGTGTGCATTTTTTTTTTTTTACAGGAAGAGTTGTACTTGACCTTTGCAAGTTCTGAGAAGTCAGAGTAAGATGTTTTCTGGAAAGTCATGGTTCTGGAGAAAAGGGAACTAGAGAAATAAATGTAAAGTGGTTGCTTGGTTTTCTCACTATGTTCACTTTGAAGGACTGTTCAACAACACTGAAAACTTGAGACTATCAGGACTCATCATGTCCTGTAGCTAATTCCAATACTATATTTACATTTCATGCATAAGCTCTTACTCTGCCATTGGTTAATTTTTCTAAACATTAGTTTCCAGCAAGGCTGCTTTTATTTTTTTCTTTAAGTTATTCTCCTTTTTGCTCTTCTGGACACAGTATTTTGATAAATGTTTAAAGCTTTAATGTAATAAAAATACCTATGTTAACTAATGGTAAGCAAATGATTTGGTGCTGCTGGCTCTTTGTTTTTTCCCCTTGCAATGAGTGGTTCTAAGTTCTGTGCTAACAACACAAGTGTAAATGTTAGCTGAACAAGTTTGCTGGTGCCAGTTCAGAGAGGTTTTAATTTCTCAGAACTACATATCGTAGAAGAGGAATGCAATTTTTGTCCATTATTGAAGAAAGATTGTAATGTTGGAGGAATTGTCAAGAGATTTCAGTATTTTGTCCTTAAATTTGGAACACAAAGCCGAGGAAGGGGTGTGCAAAACAATAACCCTCTTGAAAGGTAGTGTCTAGGCTTAATTCTTAAATCACTAGCCAAGCTTCAGTCCTAGTCCCTTTGCTGTTACTTTTCAGTGCTTAGTAAAAAAAGAAAATTAAAAAATCTTATTTAAATTGTAACTGACCTCTTATGAATGGGGATTACATTTTTCTTTATGACTTAACTATTCAAGAAAATGTTCTGTGATAACATTACAGATATGATGATCTCTTACTCTCAGTTTAACCTAAATAGAACTTTGGTTGTTACCTATTTGAGAGTGAATGCAGGTGTTCCCTATGTTCCCTGGGTGGTGTGGGTAACCTCTCTCTGAGATACATGTATGTATCTCTCTATAAATGAAACTGTTCACATAACAGGTCTCTTTCTAAATTGGATCTCTGCTTTAGATGGTAATCCTCCTAATTTTATAATGTGTCCCCCCCTTCCTGAAAGCGCAACGTGCTTTATTTTGATGGGAAGCAGCCTGTTCAGAGCGCGAGGACCACGGCTTTGCAGCTTCCCAGGTAGGAATGCAATCACGGGTCAGAGATGTACTTTCCAGCAGGGGTGACTTACTTCAAGAGCTATTTTCTTTTACATTCTCATCTTTATGTCATGCTTTAAGAATCCTTGTTTCTGGTTGTCTTGCAGCATGTGGATATTTATGTCTGTCTGAGTGTGCTGTCTTTCTAGGGTAGCTTGAAAAAATTATGCACCAGTTGCCACAGACTGAAAACCATTTTAGGGAGGAACAGTGCAGCTGACTTTAAGCAATATCGTTGTCCCTACTAAAAACAGACTGCAAACAAACAAAAACCCCAAACAAAACCAAAGTGGGGTTCCTTCCATATTTCTTTGCTTGAGGGCCCTATTCTGTTACCCTGAGAGGTAGGGAGGGCTCCAGGGGAGGACAACCCCAGGGCAGTGCTTGAGGCTGCTGTTCCTGGTACAGGAGCATGGGGGACTCAAAGGCACTGGGGAACGCAGAGAAAGCAATTTCACTGTGCATTGCTGTGCACAACTCCACTGGAAACTGTCTCTCCTTTAATAGCTACAGACCAGCATAAAGCATTCTGCAAAGTAAATTGAATTCTGTAGTAACCCAGGTGGCATGTGATTATCTTCCTCCTCCTGAAAGGTTTGACGTAACTATGTATCAAAACCTCACCTTGGTCTGAAAGTTAGGGGCATTGGAGAAACTTCAAACAAGACAAATGAATCCAGTGCTAATTTTCTATTATTGCTACTATAAAATCAAAAGTTGGTGGTAGCTGTAGCTGTATTGAAAAAAATAGCCTCAAATGAGTTGAGGCTGTAATTGTCAGCTGTGGTCAAGAAGGAAGGAGCACTGGTGAGCAGAAAGGATGAAGATGTGGAGATCTGCACTGTGGGTCTGCCAGATGGTAAGCTCTTCAAAATGCTGTCATTATCTACCAGTAGTCCACAGAAGTAGTTCTGCATAGCTTGTTTCTCAAAAAGCAGTAGCATGGTCTGCCTGTGGCTATCAGTTTCTAGAGCAGGTTGTGAAGTTGGACCTTGGTGCAAGCATACAAGGCTTACTGCAGCATTGCCTCTTGAGGGGTGCATCAGGGCATCTGTAGCTCGAGATTTGCCAAAGGCTACAACTGGCTTTCCTCCTGACTTTAGTGGCAGTAACAGCCAGTCAGGGTGCTGCAAGGTTGGGTCTGTTAGGGGGCAGCATGCAGTGCGATGGGGGAATTGCCAAGTGCACAGGTTGACATTGAATGGACCGACTTTACCTAGTTTGTTGGCATAAATCCTTTCCTGTTTTGGGAACATGCTTCCTCTAGGTATTTAACAACATGCATTTAAAGCATCTGATTACTCATATCCTCATCTTCCAAACCCTCCTCCTTCACAACCCCTTCCCCTCAAAAAAAGGGAGATGCCAGTATATACTGTGAAATATTATGGGTTAACTCAGACTTTGTCTAGCCTTGAATTTGTTGGGGATTGAGTACAGCTCCTCTTGCTGTCAAGGTTGAGGTCAGCTTGACCTGGGCTCTTGTAATATCTCTGGAGATCTCCTGCTCACACTTGGCATGTAAATAAGGAGTGCAGCTCTGTTGTGTGACGCCTGTGGCAGGAAGCAAAGAGGTTTTTCTTTCCTCTTCTCTTCCTCCTGCCCTCGCCCTGCCAGCATCACCTGTGCAGCAGAGCACAGATCTGCTGAAGGTGGGGTGGGCAGTAAGGTGGAGTAGCTGAGAGGGTTGGGGTTTTTTCAATTATTTCTGTGTGTGTCTGTGAGATGGCAGGAGATGATGACTATTCAGATGCAAAGAGACTTCAATGTTCATTTTTTTGCCATTACAGCACTTGATTTCTAGCCAATTTGTGAAACTTCTGTGCATTGAAATAAAGACTCCAGCAAAGCAGTCACTTGGCTTGGGTTGTTGAACAAATAAGTATTTTGGTGATGGGCTCTTTCAACTATGTTACCTGCAAACAAATCACAGTCTGGTTTACAAAACCTGTTTCTCTCAAGTTTTGAATTGTCCGATACTGACACAACTTATACTTAATGAAGCATTTAATTAAGACTGTAGAATATTGCAATTTGTCTCATTTCACTCTCGAAATAATCAGTTCAAGCCAAGCCCAAAAGAATAAGTTTGTATATGAAGCTTTATTTCTGTTATGGTGAATGTGAGATTATAAAAAGAGTTAAGTATCCTTTGCAGACTGAATAAAACCAGGGTTTTCAAAACTCTGCAGACTGGTGTGTTTGAGGGCAAATTAGATCAAATGGATACCAAGGAAGGAAGTTAAACCTTTCTGATCCCAGGGGACTTTGCTCCTACAGCTGCAGGCAGTTCAGAGGAGCAGACTTTCTGTTGGAACTGCATATCTATTTACAAACTGGTATTATTTTACCGAGCTGAACATGCTCTCATGTAGCTAGTATGGTAAGAAATCAAATATAATGGACTGGTTCAAGCTTCAATAATATTTAAGGAGGAAAAATAAGAAAGGCCTATTTCTGTTTGGCTTAGGATATGTGATCTCCTGTGATATAAGGAAAGAGCTTCACCTGAACCTTCCTTTTGCCAGTGGACCCTGGCTGGGTAGACCTGTTCTTCCTCTTCCCAGGCGTGTCAGTTCAGTATCTGCTTGTCTGAACTGAAGAGACTGCTATCAAAGGGGGTGAAAATCCCCTGTCCTTGGCATGAGGCAAAGGCCTGGCTTCTACTGACTGGGGCCTGTACTTGAGGACATGCACACCAGCCTCTGCTCCTGGGATGGAGAAGAGCCTGCAGTCACCCAGCGAAACCCTCTCTTTGTTTGAGGGGGAAGTATTGCCTTTATCAGCATGTTTTCCTGTCATGTATTATGAGTGTCAAATGTTATATTTCTGACTTGGGCTTGGCTAGAGAAATAAGGGTTTAGTTGCTTTCTTAAATTTCCATGAGCATGGGAAAGAGGAGGAGCTGGTGTGTTTACAGACAGTGGCTGTGGTGGGGAAATGGTTCTCCAAATCTAAATGCACTTAATGTTTTTCTGGCGATATTGCAGTTGGACTTCACTGTTAAAAAAAGTATTCAGACACATATGTTAATGGGCAAAATTGAAGGTTCAAATATTTGTTTTTTACAAATGATATACAGTAAAATTCTTTGAAACTGAAATTATATTGGGTTTAATCATAAGCTAAACAATTTTCCTGACAGAGAAAACCAACAAGCCTAAACATTTTCTGGAGAATCATGTCTGTGGTGTGGCCTTTAGTTGCATGATCTTCCTGGTACTAAAATCATGTCTTGGTATGTTATATTTTCTTTTACTGGAGGCA